TCCCCTTTCCGGGTCTGAGAACAGCAATGTGATAAATTCACAAGTACACACAGAATCATATTCCAGCATATGCTGCTAGTCAACTTGCCTCTTGAATACGATCAGAAGACAAAAATGTGGAAAGCAGAGGATTATGATTACTCCACTTATCTCAGAAGCATACACTTAAGAGAGGAGACCCAACTTAGCTGATCTCAAAGATTCTCATAATAGAGCTAACCGGGTAGTACAGCTATGCTACCTCACCTCCATTCCCTAGAGTTTTCATCAGAGAGGGGACCTTAGTGGTACTTCTTTCCCAGAGTAATCAAGAATTTTAATATATCGACAATGAATTAATCTCTTCCATCCATCAGTGATATCAAGGAAATGAAAAAGTAACTTATAAAAAATGTTGGAGACTTTGTCCTAGGACAAGAGACAAGATGAGGTTATTCTAGGCATGCAGAACCACTTGGCAAAAGACTATATTAGAGAATTTCAGAGTTGACCATCTAGGCCAATCCATTTCTGAAACAATTCCATCTACGACATACCTAATTTGTTCATTCAGCCTTTGCTTGAAAACTGCCCAAGAAGGATCCCCCATTCATTACCTCCGGAGGCAGCTCACTTCATTTTTAAAATAGCTCTCATTGCTAGGAAGTTTTGCCTGACGTTGAGTCTAAATTTGCGTCTGCAGCTTCCACCAATCATGTTTTTGGTTCTGCCTTCTGGTCCAAGGCAGCAAGTCTAATCCTTCTTCTAGTGAAAGCCCTTTAAATACTTGAAATCAGCTATCACACATCCTCACCCAAAGTCGTCTCTTTTCCAAACTAAACATCCCCAGTTATTAGAACTGAGTCTCACATGGAATGAATTCACGGTCCTTTACCATCTTGCTTGTCCTTCTGTTTCTGCTTCCCAACTTATTAGCTTTCCTAAGATCTGGCCCCAAACCTGAGTATAAACTATATGTTATAAACACTCATGTGTGATATATATGACCAACGCACAGTATAATAATCCCATCACCTTATTGATCACTGTCTTTTAATATGACCCAAAATCATATTAGCTTTTTTGGCAGCCATGGCATATTTGAGCTTATGTTCCACCAAATTCCCTTCCCTCTCCCCATATGAAATGTGCTATGGAAGAAAAGGATGAAAAATGGAGGTGGGATGGGGGAAAACCAATAAGATTGAACAAAGAGTGAAAAGAAGGCAGCTAGCTAGGTGGCTCAGTGGATAGAGCACTGGACTGGAGTCAGAAAGACCTGAGTTCATATCTGACCTCAAATACCAGCTACATGACCATGGACAAGTCACTTAACCTCTGTCTCTGTGTCTCCATCTATAAAATAGGGATAATAATAGCACCCATCTCCCAGGGATCTTGTGAGGCTGATAATTGTAAAGTGCTTTGCAAACCTTAGGGTGTTATATAAATGCTGGCTATTATTTAAAAAAAAAAAAGGCAGCTAGATGGCTCAATGGATAAAGTGATGAACCTGGAGTCAGGAAGACCTGAGTTCAAATTTGACCTCAGATACTTACTAGCTGTGTGACTCTGGGTCAGTCACCTCTGCCTTAATCTACTAGAGAAGAAAACAGCAAACCACAACAGTATCTTTGCCAAGAAAACCCCATACAGGGTCATGAAGAGTCAGACACAAGTGAACAAATTATTAAAAGAAGCAGGAGGTGATGTATAGTCTTGGGGAAGAGACTATCAGCCACAAACCTGATAACCAATGGGAAATGGGAGATAGGTCTCTAAACCCACTTCCCTGCCTCTGCTCCCTTAGAATAAGAGACAAAATGGAAGGATGGGTTTGAATTAGTCTATTAGCTTATTTCCGGGCTCTTACAAGTCCCTTATTTTACTGTGAGTAGCATCTAATAAAGATATGAAGGTTTGATCCTGGGGGAAAAGCATGTGTGAATTCAACTAAGGGATTGTGATAAAATAAGATTTTTGGAAAGTCAAGGAAGGAAAAAAATCTGTATGACAATTAAGAGTTCTTTGACCCAGGAAGGATAGCACGGTACCTGTATGGGCAAGAGGAGATGAAGAGAAATAGTCAATGGGATCCAGTTAGGACTGAATGTTAGAATCAATGAATGTTAGCTCTGAAGGTTCCGGTTAGTGAAACTGGTTAGTGAAAATTAAAACTACCAGAGAAATTTTTGAAGAGCTAGTTGTTCCCATCAAAAAGACTAAACAAGGATTGTGCTAGGCAAACACACCCAAAAAGATAGAGACCCTGCTCTAAAGGAGTTTACTGTCTAATAGGGACAATAAAATCTTTTTGGGTGTGTTTGTCCAGGGCTTTGTCCCACGGCAGAACATTTAGAGGGCATCTACAATAGGGCTTGTGGCCATACTTGCCTATTCCTCCTTTTTCCAGCCTTACTACACACCCAAAGACTGCTTCAACTTGGGGAATGTTTTCTTCCCTTTGTGGCTGGGAAATTTAGAGGGCACAGATAGCATCATCCTGTTCAATTGTCCCCTTCTTCCCTTCCCACAGTGGGAGCCTTGAGGCATGCTTCCTGCCACCCAAACTTCTCCCTTGTGGGCCCTATCCCCACTTCCACCTGAATAACTACTACAGTAGTAGCCTCTTTCTAGGGCGCATTTACTCCCCAGTAATCTGGCAACACCAGTGACCTTACCCATTCTTGCCCTGGGTGCAAAAATAGCCAAGTATAGTTCTCAGTGGAGGAACCCTATTCTGGACATGGGGAACTATCCATGAATTCATGAAGATAGGAAAGGGCAGACAGAAATGGAATTAAATCCTTTTTTTTTTTTTAATAGTGAAAAATGAGTTGGTAGGGATAGCTAGGTGGTGCAGTGGATAGAGCACCAGCCCTCAGTTCAAATCCAGCCTCAGACACATATAACACTCACTAGCTGTGTGACTCTGGGCAAGTCATTTAACACCAATTGCCTCACCAAAAAAGAAAGAAAAAAGAAAGAAAGAAAAAGAAAAATGAGTTGGGATGATTAGTAGATAAGACATACGAAAGTCAGTAGCAAAAACTGTTTTGTCCTCTGATGTTCTCTATCAAATAATTTATACACTTAGCGATCACCTTGGGAAGCAAGAGAAGTAGAAAATATGGGACTTGCCCTTGAGTAGTTTGAAATCTAGTCAGGGAGAGAAATACACAAGAGGACTTGAGAACCACTATAAGCAGCATGCCTAGAAGTGTGAAATAATGGACAGTCCTACAAATGGAAGGGGGATACAGTGCCTGGCAGAGTGTTGGGAATGATTTTGAACTCATTGCTTTCCATTTCCCCAAGAATTATTTATAGTTGGCTTCCTATCTGGACACACCTTCACTGTTAGTCAGTTGATTCTGAGCAATCAAAACTGGAAAAAACAAAACAAAACAAACCTCCAAACACTTTTGATATAAGAAGCCCCCTTAGAAAAACACCCTATGCTTCAAAATGACCTATGCTTGTGTTCAACTTTGCAAGGTAATGGAGCTAAGGGAAAGCCAGGGGAGATGTCTCACTCATTCTGCTGCCATGGTTTCAGTTTTATAGATATATTTAACAAAAATCCTTTTGGACAAATGGGATCTCAGGGATCTGCTAAATTGTTAATAACTTCCCCAGGTTCTTGCGTCCTTCTACGATGCCTTCCTTATCATAAGCATTTTAAAAAATCAACACATATAATTCAGTTGGTCACTAGGGTGAAATGAAAATTGTTCTTTAGTTTATGTATTCCTCAGCTTGGTCCTGATTATCTTCTATTAGAGCATAGTTATCCCTTCCCCATCACAGGGGTTATGGGTGCAGAGCCACCAATCTGGAAAATTCGAATAAAATTTTTTGACCCTTCCTTCATACCAGAGAAGTCTGAATTATGGTATTAAAAGATAAAATATGTTGATATTATATAATACTATGCATATATTTTATGCATTTCTGAGTTTCTAAACATCTTCTGTGTCATCTGCTGGCCTTTGAGTGTGGTCTGCAACTTCTGCAAAACTACCCCCAAAATTCCCATTCAATTTCTTCTGCTGACCAGAGATACATCAAAACCATCGCAAGATAGGGAAAGCTGCAATGTGGAAGGGATAACTGTATAGTGGAAAAAGCCACTGATTTGCTCTCAGAAGTCCTGGATTTGAGTCTGGGCCTTGCCATTTATTATCTGGATAGCCTTGGGCAAATCACCTAACCTTGCTGAGCCTCAGCTTTCTCATCTGTAAAATGGGGATAATGGATGATCAGTCCCAAGAAACAGATCATAAAGCTGACACAGAGGGGAGATACAGTAGGGACTGAAGACTTCAAGTATCTGGTAGCTATAGGATCTCTCTCTCTCTCTCTCTCTCTGTCTCTCTTTGAAAAGCAGAACAGTTGGTTAATTTCTGATTAGTATCACTGATAATGTGTGTATGTTACTTCTTCTTTGAGACAAATCTGTTGAAAGTGAGGTTCAAACAGTGCTCATCCCCTCCCTCCTTTCCATCTACTGTAATAGGTCTTTTGCGCCTCTTCATGCGATACAGTTTACCCCTTTCTACCTCTTCCTTCTCTCTTCTCCCAGTGCAATCCTCTTTCTCATCTCTTATTTTTTTTACATCATCCCATCAAAGTCAACTTATACCTGCACCCTCTGACTATGTATACTCCTTCTAATTGCCCTAATAGAGATACAGTTCTTAAGAGATACAAGTCTCATCTTCCCGTGTAGACATGTAAACAGTTTAACTTATTGAATAACTTATGTTTTTTCTTTTCCCTTTACCTTTTTATGTTTCTCTTGAGTATTGTATTTGAAAATTAATTTTTCTCAGGGCAGCTAGGTGGCACAGTGGATAGAGCACCAGCCCTGAAGTCAGGAGAACCTGAGTTCAAATCCAGCCTCAGACCAAACACTTAACACTTACTAGCTGTGTGACCCTGGGCAAGTCACTTAACCCCAATTGACTAAAAAAAAAAAAAAGAAAGAAAATTGACTTTTCTG